ATATCATCCAGATAAGCAGCGGCTCCTTTGGTGCCCGTCAGCATGGTGTCCATGGTTTGCTGGAACATCGCGGGAGCAGTCTTAACCCCAAATGTCAGACGGAACAGACCATGATGGGTGTTAATGGTGAGAAGCTCCCGGGAGCCTTCGTCCGCCTCGATTTGGAGGTATGCATCAGATAGATCTGGCTTAGCAAAACCAGTTCCACCATTCACCTTAACAAAAAGATCTTCCGGCACGGGCAAAGGATATTGATGTGTGTCCAAAGCAGCACAGATTTGGACTTAACTAAAGCTTTCTTGGCAGCCACGATTAATGCGGCCCATGCTGAGTAGTTGACTGGAAGAAGAACGCCATCTCGTTGAAGACGATCAAAATCATGGTCTATCACTGTAAGTGCGGCGTAAGGAAGTGGTCTTTTTGGCCTGGAAACAGGTTTTGCGTTTGGTTTAAGACATAAAGTGACCTTCAGCTTGTTGTAGCAACCAATACCGCCTTGAAAAACTGGAGCAAACTTCGCCTGTAAGGTCGACGTCAAATTTGTCGCCAGCTGATTTGATTTGGTGGGACTGGGCCAAGTTGACTGCACACCATTGCAAATGCGGTTAAGTGGCAGTTCTAGGAGACCGAGTTTTTCGATCCAGTCAAGGCCAAGTAAGTCAAGGTTCGGGCGGTTAGTAAGGTAGCATGTTCCCTTGAATTGAGTGCCCTCAAAGGAAACGTCACGTTCAAGCTCACCCGTAAGCCGGAGGAATCCGCCTGAAACATTCGTAGCTTTTTTATGCGATGTGATCATCGGATGCCGTCCAATCATGCGCCAAGTGTGTTTGGAGATGAGGCTGATGTCTGATGCCGTGTCCGGCTGGAGACGTACAGGTTTGCCACTGATGGTAACCGTAAGATATTTCCTCCGTGCTTCAAATTCAGTCTGGAATGTGGCTAAGATTGAGTTGGACTTTAGGCCGAAGTAAGATGAAGGGCGTTTGGAACTTCTTGCCTTCCATGATTTGAGGGGTTGGCCTGCCGGACAGTGGTTTTCCTAATGCCCTCGTTTATGGCATTTGTGACAAACATGCCTCTTGAATGGACAGAAGCGGGCAAAATACCAGTCATCGCACTGCCAGCACGCTGATGGTGGTTTTCTGGGTGTGAGATCTT